GTGATACACTCTACACGGCTGCACTCTAATACGCGGTGAAGATCCCGCCCATCTCAGATGTAATCGTGGAAAGTAACTTCAGGTTCACGGCTGGGGGCGGTTGCCTTCTAAGGCAGGTTGACGCGCTTTCAAGCGCAGCCACGCGTTGCAGCGCTTCAACACGCGTTGCCGCGCTTGAACACGCGTTGCTGCGCTTAAACACGCATTGCTGCGTGCAGAGCCCTTTTAACGCTTTGACACCCCACAGTTGCGCGCTCGGTGCTGTACTATTCCCACCCCAGTGACCCCCTAAACATGAACATCACATCCCTTAGCCCGAAACCGCCGGCGCCAAAACATCTTATATCAGCAGAATCGATGAAAACCCATGCATGGCGGGTTATTTGGCATCCTGGTTAGGATGACATTTACTTTTGGCGCCGGCGCTAAGGCAGCGTTCAGAGTCAACGCGCTTTCAAGCGCATTAACACATGTTGCTGCACTTGTTACTGCGCTTGAACACGCGTTGCTGCGTGCTAGAGCTCGTTTAAGCGCTTTTACACTTGGGATAGGAGTAGTGCAATAGTGCCGCGCGCTTGTAATTGTAGCGCGTTGAAGCGCTTCAACACGCGTTACTGCGCAGCAACACGGCGCAGCAACACCCGTTAAAGCGCAACAACGGGTGTTGCTGCGCCGCACAGCGCGTTCAACTGAACGCTGCCAGCCTCCGTATGGGTTTTCATCTATTCCCGTGATTTAGGGTAATTTGGCGCGGGCGCCAGGAGGTTTCGGGCCACGCGTATGCAGTAGTCTTGTTCAGGATGTTAGGCTCCCCCAAGGGACGAGTTTTCATTGATTTTGGTGATTTAGGGTGTTTTGGCGGCGGCGCCTGTGGCGCGGGATGCCAGGCGGTTTCGGGCCAAGCGGATGTGATATTCATGTTTAGGAGGTCACTGGGGTAGGAATAGTACAATAGTGCCGAGCGCGCTTGTAACTGTAGCGTGTCAAAGCGCCTAAACGGGCTCTGACACGCAGCAACGCGTGTTCAAGCGCAGCAACGCGCGTTCAAGCGCGGCAACGCGTGCGCAAGCGCGTTGAATCTGGACGCTTCCTAATCTGGGGGAGTTGACCAACACTGGTTCGTTGAAGAAACAACATAACTACAGCTTACTGACTGCAACAAACCTTTCTCCCAAGTCCAACAAGCACCCTGTTCAACAGCGCGCCCATCTTTTTTCCTCGCATGTCCTTGTCTACAACCACGTCTTCAACACGGCCACGACATCCTGCATTATGAATGAATTTCCATTCAACCATTAACGTCGCGGCACCAACAACACGCCCGGTGCTGTAAAATAACGTGTTTCCCTCAAGAGCAGTTGAAGAGTTTTTTCGTAGCAATCATGTATTACTTCGTTAACAGTCATAACATCTAGATAAAAGTGGATTTTCAGATAAAAAAGTTAGAAAATAAATTAGGAAGTTCTTTTTGTCTCGCTCATCATGTACTACTAGGCTTATGAATATGGTCCATAGAAAGTCAAATGAAACAGCGATATTTCCACGGAACGTGCTATTTTTGCAAGTTCTTCAACACCGTAACATAAAGACCGATGAGTAGAAGAAGCACATAGCGCAGTTATCCTGGCAACCCCACTAATCAATTTGTTTTTCGTGCAGCGTTTAGACTTCGCAATAACGCGCGTCGACGTGCTACCTTTGCAAGGACGCCTCAGTGCTGCAGCGGCGAACGCAGCTGCAGCAGATAATCGATCGATGATGACCGCTTGCATTTTGAGGAAAGTATCAGGGCTCATCGTTGTTGGGGAATCCCCAACAGGGGGTCGTATTTGGTCGCCAGGAGAGGGGGGGGTCGTATTTGGGCTGAGAAAAATTTATTTTGATAGTTGATTTTTCTCGCTTCACGGACGTTGTAAAAGGTAGGGGGAGGGGGTACTTGCTCATTGTTAGGAGGGAGAGGGAGGTCACATCTAGGCTGAAGAAAATTTATTTTGATAGTTGATTTTTCTCGCTTCACGGACGTTGTAAAA